TGGCTGAACTGAAAATCTGCTACATCATGGTACAAACACACACATGTACACACACACACATGTACACACACACACACACACACACACACACACACACACACACACACACAATATGTTTATTTACAAAACACTTAAAACCTTCAGTAAGGCTGATCAAAGGTTTATCTTAATCATTCAGATTTTCCCTCTACAGGGCTCTCCACAGTGAGTCATCCTCCTCTATCTCACCGTGTCCTCTGTCCTCACTCCAACTACCTCCATGTCCTCTCTAACTGCATCCATATATCTCCTCTTTGTCTTTTTCCTGGCAGCTGCATTTCTAACATCCTTCTACCAATATAACCACTGTCCCTCCTCTGGACATGTCCAAACCACTGTCCCTCCTCTGGACATGTCCAAACCACTGTCCCTCCTCTGGACATGTCCAAACCACTGTCCCTCCTCTGGACATGTCCAAACCATCTCAGTCTGTCTAGCCTCTTTAACTTTATCTCCCAGTTGTTCAACCTGTGCTGTATCTCTGATGATCTCACTCCTAAGTAGAACCTCAACATCTTCATTTCTGCCACTTCCAGTTCCGTCTCCTGTCTTTTTGTCCATGTCTCTGTCTCCAGACCATACAACATAGCTGGTCCCTCTACTTTCTTGTAAATCTTCATTTAAAAAAAACAAACAAACACAGGACATATGATAAAACACTCAAATCTACAAGTTAAAATAAGTACATATGTACCATGTCAGACGTTTGGACCTGAAGCAGGAAGATCTCCTGCACCTCTGAGCTCACATCTGCTCCCTGAAACCTTAACCGATCTGCTGATCTGCTGATCTCAGAGAACTACTGGACATCTTCAGAGACAGGAGAGGACAGAACTTTTAGAACACTTAAAAATATTAAATAATTTACAAATAAATTGGAAAGTGAACGGGAAGTGAAGAAAGACAGCAACCGGGAGCATCAGCAAGTTTTATGTTTATGTAGATGTTTGCATTTTAACCTTGGAGGAGACATCCAGACTCATTTACTCTTCGTTAGGATCATACGTAATTTCTCATTCTGATTCTGGGTAGGGCTCCTATAAACTATAAGATTAACATAATATACATGAATAATATTAATGCACTGATGGTGCTGGAGACCTGTGACTGTACATTTTTAAACATGTCAGTTTTACCATTTAACTGCCTGCAGGGTCCATTTAGTGTTGGTTTACAGTCAGGGCACAAACTGGAAGGAGACTGGGACAAGATGGAGAAGGTTTCTACAAATGGATTTTTATAACAAGAGCTCTAACCTGAGATGCGACGGGGTTAGAGCACGTTTCTGTGTCGTGACACATTTAAGAAAGCTTTTGGTTGATTTATTCCAAAATCATACTAATTATCTCTTTTCTCTTAGAGAAACCCCTTGAGGTATTTATAATAAAATAATCTGGTGTCACGTCAGAAGTAATTACAATTTAAACCAACATCTCACACAACTGACAGATTATTCCACACGACCAAGTGTGACCAGATGAAACATGAAGTCTCTTCTTCTTTCAGCTTTTCCCTCTTCAGGGACAAGTCATCCTCCTCCATCTCACTCTGTCCTCTGCATCCTGGTTTGTTGAAGCCTCATACGTTGTTAAGGTCTTTGCTCACTTCACGTTAGTCCACTAAGAGATTTATTATGATATGGGCCTAAAACATTAAATGTGAGACTGACTCAACTTCCACGAGTTCGTTTGAGTTTGCAGTTTCAGGGCACTGAAATATGAACCACATTAGAACAAGCTGCTGCTGATCACACGCAAAATGAAGACAAGATCAGCAGCTGCTGCTGGAAAACAGAGCTGAGTCCATCCAACAGGTCATCCATTGAATCCCCACACACGTGCATGTTTGAATCTGTGACACGTCATCAGGACATTCAGAGCATTGACGAGGAACTCAATGGGAATGTGGAAGACGACTCTGGAGGCCAGTTCAAAGACAACTGAACAAGCTAGCATCAAGAGCAGCACCAAGGTGATGCTCTGTCGCTCTGCATGGATCTGAAGCCCCTCGAGACAGATCAGACGTTGGTTCCACAGTCAGTTTCCTCCTCTACTTGCAGCTGCACGACAGAAATGAGCGAGACATCGCCTCACTGATCCACCACAACTTACAGCATGGACACTGGAATGTTGTTCAAACTGGATAAATGTGGTCTACCAGTCTCCAACAGGACAAACCTGGAACATCTCTGTCTGTCGGTCCCAACAGCTGGTACTGTGCAGGACCCTCTAGCTCCCGAGAGCTTCGAGTGAACTGCACGTGTAGAAAAGCAGAACGAGCCTACATTCAGGTCCAGTTCTAAACACTAGATAGGTTCATTCAAATGCCATACGCTGATGAAGTCTTCCGGATGGAAACATTTCTCCCCTTAAAGAAACTGGTCCAGATGACATGATTGAACCTTTTTTTGTTCATCTAAATGGTTCATGGGAGGACAGAGCGCACTTCTCGTGTACACCTGTGCATAAATCAAAGTTATCTGAAGATACATAATAGTTTGACCTCAGAACAAAACGTTTATTTTATTTATGTAGCTTTAAAACATGGCAGTTAATTCCATCATTCTTCAGTCAGGTCATCTGGACAGTTTCTTTTTTTATCTGTGCTGAAACGTTTCGCATTCGATCCAGAAGGCTTCACCAGTCAAGGAAACACAACAAAACTGATTCTTCCTCCAACAGCTTACTCCAAAGTGGAACAAACCAGTTCTGCTTTGTTGGCAGGACAAGCTGCGTGGACTTTGTTGTTTTCAACCAGTTTGACATGACTGTCAACAAGGAAGAGGGCCGGCAATGGAGGAGGGGCGTACCAAAGAGACCATCTTATCACAAGCAGAACTGGTTTGTTCCATTTTGGAGTAAGCTGTTGGAGGAAGAATCAGTTTTGTTGTGTGTTTCCTTGACTGATGAAGTCTTCTGGATTGAAGGTGAAACGTTTCAGCACAAAAAAGAAACTGTCCAGATGACCTGACTGAAAAATGTTGGATTTTATACCTGGATTATTATCATGGACTTTGTTGATGGCAGTTAATTGTTTTGACACATGATACCACTGATGTCATGTAATGGTCTGACCCACTGACTCGACCCATGGACCTCTGATCCAGTCTGAGACTCAGATCACACCTGGTTTTTCTCAGGAGAACTTTAAATCCATTTGAGTGGTTTCATCATGTTCAGTCCACTGCTGGCTGCAGAGTGTTCACAGCTCGTGGGAGTCTCAGCTTCTATCACTTCAAATTCCACCTCTGTATTTGCAGACACGGCTGACTTCTACTCATTTTGCACTTGCTAAGGTTGATTAGCTGCGGCAGCCATCTTGGATTTGCAACCACTAAGAGGTATTTTGTTAAATTTGTAGTTCTGTAGTTAATGTCGGGCACATGTGGCTCAGTTGGTGGAACTGTTGCCTCTCGGAGAGAAGGTTATCGGTTCAAATCCCGGCCGGGAGCCTTTCTGGGAGGAGTTTGCATGTTCTCTCTGTGCATGCGTGGGTTTTCTCCGGGTACTCCAGTTTCCTCCCACAGACCAAAAACATGCATGTTAGGCTGACTGGTAACTCTAAATTGTCTCCAGGTGTGAGTGAGAGACTGAATGGTTGTTTGTCTCTATGTGTCCCTGTGATGGACTGGAGATCTGTCCAGGGTGTCCCCCACCTCTCACACTGTGATTACTGGACATGGACGCCAGTGACCCAAAAAGGAAGAACAGGTAAAAAAGATGGATGGATGGAGTTAATGTCATGTGATGAGGTCAGAGCTCGATGGTTTTGCGACAACAAACTCACATATTTTCTGCTAAAAAGATGTGAGTTTTATTTGATGCTAAATGATGAGTCATCATTCCTGAACATGGAGGGGCGGCAATAAAATAAGGTTTTTAGCATACATCTGTCAAACCACCTATGGCTGCATCACGTGACATCACAACACTACGAATTTACAAAATGTCTTAATTTCTAATAAATGTTATGAGTTTGTTGACTGGTTTGTGAAATATTTTGCTAACAGACAAGCAAACAAACTCACACCCGAGATGTTTGTCCATCTTTCTGTTCGGCGTTCAGCGATGCTCAAGTTTAAAGTCTGAGCTGATTTTAATGAAGCCTCTGAGTTTGAGCACCGGGGGGTTGACCCCAGTTCGTTTTAAAGACTTTTGGAGACCGATTTATGAATAAAGTTTGTTTCAATGTGTCCAGTTTTGTCTCGTTACACACAACTGGTGTCTTCTTCCTCTGAGTCGCTCACTGTGGGAGTCCTGAAGACAGAAGCAGTCCAAAGTTTTTGCTGCATTTTGTTTTTTTTTTATTTTGTCGTAGTTATACATTTAATATTGTCAAAGCATCAAAGAGCAGGACTGTTCGAGCTTCACCCTGTCATAAATGAAATGAACGAACACATGAACTCTGATGGATCAAACACTTTTTATCTTTGTTCCTGAGCAGCAGCAGCTCTTCTTCATGGGTTGTTTTATCAGCTGACTCTATTCTCTGAAGACTCTGCCCCCCCCCCCCCCCCCCCCATCACCACCCTCCTCCTCTGGTCCCTCCTTCCCGCTCTCCATCACCACTTCCTCCTCTGGTCCCTCCCTCCCCCTCTCCATCACTCCCCCCCCCCCCTCCTCCTCCTCCTCCCCTCCTTCCTGACTCTCCTCCTCAGTCGGAGCAGCGCTCCGTCCTCTCTGTGATGCTCCTCAGCTCTGTTCCGTTCGTGCTCGGGGGGTGGGGGGTCCGACCGACACGTCCTGCTTTCTGCCGCTGGAAACCGCGCACGGAGCGGCGGGTGAGCACGGGAATGTAGCGGGAGGAGAGAGATCCGGAGGAGGTGCAGGCAGGAGTTCCATCAGACAGAGGAGGGGGGAGCAGTGGATGCTGATGAGAGTTGGACTTGGGTCCAGTTCTCTGTTTTCTCCTGTGTTTTCGACACCAGGCGGTGGATGTAAAGGTTCTGGAGTCCGGCTCTGATGGGTCGGCTCTAACTTCATCATGAAGTCCGTGTTCTTCAGCCGGTTCTTCATCCTGCTGCCCTGGGTGCTCATCGTCATCATCATGATTGACATCGACAGCAAAAGAACCGTCCGAGCTCCGGCAGCCTGGACCGGCCGGGCTCCGCGGACCCCCCGGACCAGTTCCTCAGGGGGGTCAGCCCAACAGAACCAGTCGGCGCTGCCTGTGATCTACGCCATCACTCCGACCTACACCCGGCCGGTGCAGAAGGCCGAGCTGACCCGGCTGGCCCACGCGTTCCGCCAGGTGTCCCGGCTCCACTGGATCATCGTGGAGGACTCTGTGGCGCGCACGGAGCTGGTTGCGCGCTTTCTGGCGAGCTGCGGGGTTCCGTACTCGCACCTGCACGTGCTCACCCCCCGCAGGTTCAAACGGAGCGGGATGCCGCGCGCCACCGAGCAGCGGAACGCGGCTCTCGCGTGGCTCCGACAGCACCGCAGCACGCGGGACTCAGGTGTGGTGTTCTTCGCTGATGACGACAACACGTACAGCCTGGAACTCTTCCATGAGGTGACGTCACTTACCTGGGGTTAATGAAGCCACGTGGGCAGGGAGTGGCCAGAGAAGGTTTACCATAATTATCAGACACAGTATAATAAACCTGCTGGTTTAGGTAAATAAAATATAACATCAGCTGTCCTCCCTACGCTGACATCAAGTTTATTTACACATATCTGGTTTATCTATTTATACACTGTAGCTAACTATAAACCTTATTCTAAAATACTTTATACTCTGAAATGAGTAATAACATCTACATAATATCTGTAACTGGTTTGAGTTTGTGCATGTGCAGATTGCACTGAGGCTATCTTTACCATGTTTAGTCTTTCAACATGTAGTATAACTTTCTACATTTTTGTAGTGGTGTGCTTAAAGTAAACTAGTTAGTACAATGTAATCGTTAATTTATTTTAATTTTTAAGCATATTGAACATTTCCAAATTTCTCTGATGCTTATATTTGAATAAATGCACAATAAATTTTGTACAATGGTTGGCTTTGTATTAAAGCATGTTATAGGATTTATAAAACAGTGTCAAAGCAAAACATGTTCATGTATTAAGTAGTAAGTATTAATTATACATTAACTCACTGGATAAGTGAATATAATAAACAAGCACATACGGATAGATTGTTACAGAAGCATTTAACTGCTGCTGAACGTATCAATGACACGTACCCAATGATATGTCATGTATCATTGGGCACTTTTTAGTGGGTATACTGAAATTCTTAAGCTTTTCTAGTGGGTGTACTGTGTATTGCGGCATATCCATAGACTGCTTTAGACACAAACACATAATGTAGAAGCTGAAGCTGAACTGGTCCAAGCGCCCCCTGTAGGCAGGTTGCAGTATAAGTTTTAAGTTCATGCAAACAAACAAGACAAAAAAGCTATTCAGATACTTTTCCTTATGATTTCCATTAGTTAACAGAGTTCTTACCTTGCTGTTGCATTTTTAATAAACCTTCTGCTATTTGCAGTGATTAGTTACAGATACAAGTAAATGTGTGCCCTTTTGGTAAAGAAAGGAACCCCATGCTCATATATTACCTTGAAACTGACAAATGTAATAATTAGGGGAAACTAGGTTAACTCTAACTATTAAGAGTTTACTTTATATTTACTTCATTGCTTTTGTATTTCCGTTCACCAGAATATGTTTAAAATACACACTACACTAATGAAACTGGCTTTGACCAAAAATAATGATACCTCTAAAAAAGCCTGAAAATAATTGGACTGTAGGGACATGCAAAACTAATGTGTGTCCTGTAGTCAGCATCACAAGTGTCTTCATTCTTGTAATCACTCAGTCTAAGAGATAAGGGTAGTCACTGTGCTGTTTGGTATCATGGTGTGTATAACACTGAAAAAGCTGAGGACAAATTTGTCTTTAGACGCTTAGAATTATGTTATGTTGTTTATTTGTCGTGTGAAGGTTAACACAAGGTCAACAGTGTAACAAAATGTTCAGGATGAGAAGAACTTCTTTGACTGGATAAAAACAAACAAACAAGAAATACTAAATCATGCAATAAGGGTACAAAATAAAGTGCCTAAAAGTGAAAAAATATATATTTACAAGGTCCAAAAGAAATATAGTAAATAACAATGGTAGAATAGAACAGTGCAAGTAGGATGAATTCATATAAATAAGTATTTCACAGGTATGCACGTGATATACAAAATATATTGTACGTAACTAATATAAACTACACAGGTTGTGTGACAGGTTATTGCACAGGTAGTGAATAACACTGAGATGTATTATGGTAAGGTAGTGACATACATGATACAGCCCCATAGTACAGCAGCAACAAACATATTAGGTCACAGATGTGGTTTGGTGCAATGTTATTGTCAGTTGTTCAGTATTATTGTCAGTTGTTCAGTATTATTGTCAGTAATTCAGTTATATGACAGCTTGTGGATAATGACTGTCTTTGAGTCTTTCTGTGTCCGATGGCAGACTCCTGTATTGTCTGCCTAAGTCAGAGTCAGAGATTCTTTATTGTCATTCGCACCTCATGTGGTACATGTGGTGGAGCGAAATTATGTACACAGGGTCCCAGTTACATCCAACAATAAAATGTATAATAAAAACAGTGATAACATCTAAGGTATGAACTAAGAAAAACATCAACTAAATATACACTAAGCACTCATAACATAAAACATTGAACATCAGCACAAACATGAACATGAGTCTGTGTGAGCGGATGTGCACGCATGAACACATCAACATTGAAACAGATCAGCAGCAACATGATGTGATTTTTCACAGTGATTATTCTAGTTAGAGATTCATGAGTCTAACAGCCACAGGGTAGAAGCTGTTCCTCAGTCTAGTGGTTCTACACTTAATGCTTCTCAACCTCCTGCCTGAGGGGAGCAGGGCAAAAAGTGTGTGTGCTGGGTGGGTGGGGTCCTTCATGATGCAGGTAGCCCTCTTCCTGCATCTGGAGGTGTAGATGTCTGTGATGGTGGGGAGGCTGACTCCGACAGACTTCTGTGCAGCCTTCACCACTCTCTGCAAAGCTTTTCTTTCTGCAGCTGTGCAGCCTCCATGCCCCACGTTGATGCTGGAGCACAGGATGCTCTCCACTGCACACCTGTAGAAAGAGGTGAGGACTGAGCTTCCCAGACCAGCACATCTCAGCCACCTGAGGAAGTAGAGTCTCTGATGAGCTTTCTTGATCAGGCTGGTGGTGTTGTTGCTCCAGCTGAGGTTGTCATTCATGTGTACACCCAAGTACTTGTAGCTGGAGACCACTTCCACCGCAGATCCTCTTATGTTCAGGGGGGTGTAGATGTTTTTGTTCCTTCTGAAGTCCACAATCATCTCCTTTGTCTTCTTCACATTGGTGTGAAGGTTATTCTCTTTGCACCAGCTCTCCAGGTGTTCCACCTCTTGCCTGTAGCTGGACTCATCATTGTTTGTGATGCATCCCACCACCGCTGTATCATTTGAAAACTTTACAATGTGACAGCCTGGATGGGTAGCTGCATAATCATATGTGAGCAGAGTAAACAGGAGGGTGCTCAACACACATCCCTGAGGAGAGCCAGTGCTGAGGGTTATGTTGGAGGAGGAGAAGTTGTGGATCCTCACTAACTGTGGTCTGTTTGTTAAGAAGTCTAGTACCCAGTTGCAAATTGAGGGGCTTAGTCCTAGTGTGGATAGTTTGTCCATCAGGGTTTGGGGGATCATGGTGTTGAAGGCAGATGTGAAGTCCACAAAGAGCATACGGACGTAAGAGTTTTTCTGCTCCTGGTGGTTGAGCGCAGTGTGGACCACAGAGGAGATGGCGTCCTCTGTTGATCGGTTCTCACGGTATGCGTACTGATGAGGGTCCTCGTTGATGTTGATGGTTGTTTTGATGTCAGAGTCAGAGTCAGAGTCAGAGTTTCTTTATTGTCATTCGCACCTCATGTGGTACATGTGGTGGAGCGAAATTATGTACACAGGGTCCCAGTTACATCCAACAATAAAATGTATAAGAAAAACAGTAATAACATCTAAGATATGAACTAAGAAAAACATCAACTAAATATACACTAAGCACTCATAACATAAAACATTGAACATCACCACAAACATGAACATGAGTCTGTGAGCAGATGTGCACGCATGAACACATCAACATTGAAACAGATCAGCAGCAACATGAAACAGATCAGCAGCAACATGATATGGTTTTTCACAGTGATTATTCTAGTTAGAGATTCATGAGTCTAACAGCCTCAGGGTAGAAGCTGTTCCTCAGTCTAGTGGTTCTACACTTAATGCTCCTTAACCTCCTTCCTGAGGGGAGTGGGGCAAAAAGTGTGTGTGCTGGGTGGGTGGGGTCCTTCATGATGCAGGTGGCCCTCTTCCTGCATCTGGAGGTGTAGATGTCTGTGATGGTGGGGAAACTGACTCCAACAGATTTCTGTGCAGCCTTCACCACTCTCTGCAAAGCTTTTCTTTCTGCAGCTGTGCAGCCTCCATGCCACACATTGATGCTCGAGCACAGGATGCTCTCCACTGCACACCTGTAGAAGGAGGTGAGGACTGAGCTTCCCAGACCAGCTCGCCTCAGCCGTCTGAGGAAGTAGAGTCTCTGATGAGCTTTCTTGATCAGGCTGGTGGTGTTGTTGCTCCAGCTGAGGTTGTCATTCATGTGTACACCCAAGTACTTGTAGCTGGAGACCACTTCCACCGCAGATCCTCTTATGTTCAGGGGGGTGTAGGTGTTTTTGTTCCTTCTGAAGTCCACAATCATCTCCTTTGTCTTCTTCACATTGATGTGAAGGTTATTCTCTCTGCACCAGCTCTCCAGGTGTTCCACCTCCTGCCTGTAGCTGGACTCATCATTGTTTGTGATGCATCCCACCACCGCTGTATCATCTGCAAACTTTACAATGTGACAGCCTGGATGGGTAGCTGCACAATCATATGTGAGCAGAGTAAACAGGAGGGGGCTCAACACACATCCCTGAGGAGAGCCAGTGCTGAGGGTTATGGTGGAGGAGGAGAGGTTGTGGATCCTCACTAACTGTGGTCTGTTTGTTAAAAAGTCTAGTACCCAGTTGCAGATGGAGGGGCTTAGTCCTAGTGTGGATAGTTTGTCCATCAGGGTTTGGGGGATCATGGTGTTGAAGGCGGATGTGAAGTCCACAAAGAGCATACGGACGTAAGAGTTTTTCTGCTCCAGGTGGTTGAGTGCAGTGTGGACCACAGAGGAGATTGCATCCTCTGTTGATCGGTTCTCACGGTATGCGTACTGATGAGGGTCCTCGTTGATGTTGATGGTTGTTTTGATGTGAGTCATGACCCATTTTTCGAAGCATTTAGCAACTATCGGGGTGAGGGCCACTGGCCGATAGTCATTCAGACCAGTCACTGTAGAGCTTTTTGGGACTGGGATGATGGTGGCAGTCTTCAGGCAGGTGGGAACTGTCTCCAGGGTAAGTGAGGTGTTAAAGATGTCTGCCAGCACCTCACAGAGCTGATCAGCAC